ATAGAAGGAGTAGTTGCCAAGTACCCTGATCTATTTGAAGAGCCGACAGGGGTTGTAGAGAGGGAGGTCGTCCACGCGATAGAGATTATCCCAGGATCTATCGGATGTCTCCAGGCGAGCTCAATGAGCTTCGCCGACAACTCAAGGAACTCGTAGAGAAGGGTTGGATCCGGCCAAGTGTCTCACCTTATGGGTCTCCAGTATTATTTGTACCTAAGAAAAAGGAGGGAACTCTGAGGATGTGCATTGACTATAGGGGCCTCAATGCCATCACTGTTAAGAATAGAGAGCCCCTACCGCGCATCGACGATTTGCTTGATAGAGTGCAAGGGTGTCGGTACTTCAGTAAGATAGATATGAAGTCCGGGTACCATCAAATTGCAATCCGGCCCGAGGATCAACACAAACTGCATTTCAGACCAGGAACGGTCTGTACGAGTTTGTGGTGATGCCTTTTGGTCTTTGCAATGCTCCTGGCACCTTTCAGCACGATATGAATCGGATATTCCATGACTGCTTGGATAATTTTGTCATCGTGTACCTCGATGACATACTTATTTTTAGTAAGACTGTCGAGGAGCACGTTGCACACTTGGACAAAGTCCTTAGTCTCCTGCGACAACACAAGTTCAAGATCAACGGTGAAAAGTGCAAGTTTGGCCACACCCGCGTCTTGTACTTGGGTCATGAAATTTCCGCGGAAGGGTTGAAGCCCGATGACGCGAAGGTGGCCAGCATTCGTGACTGGCCGCGTCCTCAGTCTGTGAGTGAGATGAGATCATTCTTAAGGATGACTGGCTACCATCACAACTTCGTGGAGAACTATAGCATAGTTGTCGCCCCTTTGACTGATATGACGCTATGCTACCGCCCCTTTGACTGATCTGACCCGCCTTGACACCCCATGGGAGTGGACTGAGAGATGCGAGGCTACTTTCAGACATCTGAAGCATGCGTTGACGCATTACGAAGTCTTGAAACTTCCTGATCTTGACAAGCCATTAATAGTGACTACGGATGCTAGCCAATATGGCTTAGGCGCCATACTTGCACAACAGGAGGGGAAAAGGTTGAGGCCAGTAGAGTACATGTCCAAAAAGATGCCCTCTCAGAAGTTGGCTAAGTCCACCTATGAGAAGGAACTCTATGCGGTTTACAAGGATCTGACCCATTGGAGGCACTACCTCCTTGGGAGGTTCTTCATCCTCAGGACTGATCATCAAACCTTGAGATGGATGAGAACTCAGTCGATACTCTCTGATGCTCTCAAGCGTTGGATCGAAGTCATTGAGCAGTATGACTTCGAGCCCCAGTACATCAAGGGCGCGCACAACAAGGTTGTTGATGCCCTGTCGCGTAGACCAGACTTCTCTGGTGCGCTGATCATTGAGTTTGGGCTTGCGGACAATGTTACTCAGTCCATGGTGGAAGCCTATCGCAAGGATCAGTTTATGTCAGAAATCATACGCAGACTAGAGGCGAAGGACAAAAAGACTTCAGCCGAGTTTGAGTTGGTTAACGGCTTGCTGTTCCTTGAGAAGGCAGGGAATAAGCGTTTGTGTGTCCCGAACAGCGAGTCTTTGCGTAGTTTGTTTTTAGGCGAGTGCCATGATGCCACCGGCCATTTTGGATATAAGAAGACCGCAGCCAATCTGCTGCAGCGATTCTGGTGGCCCACGATGATGCGAGATGCCCAGCTGTACGTCGAGACTTGTCAGGTTTATGAAAGAGACAAGCCACGTACTTAGGCTCCTCTTGGGCTTCTGAAGCCCCTTCCGATTTCGGAACGGCCTGGTGAGAGTCTGTCCATGGACTTCATGGATACTCTGGTCACCAGCAAGAGCGGGATGCGACACATCTTCGTCATCGTGGATAAATTTAGTATGCTAGGTTAGTAGCAATGTCGGAAACAGCAAGGACGGAGTACGCAATCAGAATGTTCAAAGAAAACTGGGTCAGGGACTTTGGTTTACCGAAGTCTATTATCACTGACAAGGATGTCCGATTTACCAGCGAACTGTGGAAGGCCGCTGCTGCAGAGCAGGGAACCCAGTTGCAAATGACTTCTGGGAATCACCAAGAGGCCAACGGCCAGGCCGAGCAACTGAACCGCGTTGTACAACATTTGTTGAGGCATTACATCAAGCCCAACCAGGTGGACTGGGATGCAAAGCTTGCTCTTATTGCCAGTCTGTACAACAATGCGGTACATAGCGCCACCGGGGTGAGCCTGAACAGTTTGCTATTGACTTTCAAGCCTAGACTGCCCTTAGATTTTCTCCTTCCTGAGAATCAGTAAACTGCTGCACCAGGTACTTTAGAATGTGCTTACCATTATGAACAGAAGATGCAGCAGGCTGTAGAACAAACACCGCCGTGAGTCTTCATTTCAGATGTAGAGAAGGGTTGGATCCGGTCGAGTGTCTCCAGGCGAGCTCGATGCGCTTCGCCGACAACTCAAGGAACTCGTAGAGAAGGGTTGGATCCTGCCGAGTGTCTCTCCTTATGGGTCTCCAGTACTATTCGTACCTAAGAAGAAGGAGGTAACACTTAGGATGTGCATTGACTATAGGGGCCTCAATGCCATCACTGTAAAGAACAAAGAGCCCCTACCGCGCATCGACGATTTGCTAAATAGAGTGCAAGGGTGTCGGTACTTCAGTAAGATAGATCTGAAGTCAGGGTACCATCAGATTGCAATCCGGCCTGAGGATCAACACAAAACCGCCTTTCAGACCAGGTACGGTCTGTACGAGTTTGTGGTGATGTCTTTCGGCCTTTGCATTGCTCCTTGCACCTTTCAGCACGCTATGAATCGGATATTCCATGACTACTTGGATAAGTTTGTCATCGTGTACCTTGATGACATACTAATTTGGATTGAAGTCATTGAGCAGTATGACTTTGACCCGTAGTATCTGAAAGGGGAGTACAATAAGGTTGTTGATGCCTTGTTGTGTAGACCTGATTTCTCAGGTGCACCGATTACTGAGTTCGATCTGACGGACAATGTTACTCAATCTTTGGTGGAAGCCTATCGCGAGGACCAGTTCATGTTTGAGATCATACGTAGGCTTGAGGCGAAGGACAAAAAGACTTCTGCCGAGTTTGAGTTGGTCAATGGCTTGTTGTTCCTTGAGAAGGCAGGAAATAAACGATTGTGTGTTCCTAATAGGGAGTCTTTGCGTAGTTTATTGTTAGGTGAGAGTCATGATGCCACCGACCATTTTGGGTACAAGAAGACCGCAGCTAATCTGCTGCAGCGGTTTTGGTGGCCCACGATGATGCGAGATGCCCAGCTGTACGTCGAGACTTGTCAAGTCTGTCAGAGGGACAAGCCACGTACGCAGGCTCCTCTTGGGCTTCTGAAGCCCCTTCCGATTCCGGAAAGGCCTGGTGAGAGCTTGTCCATGGACTTCATGGATACGCTGATCACCAGCAAGAGTGGGATGAGACACATCTTCGTTATCGTGGATAGATTTAGTAAGTATGCTAGATTAGTAGCAATGTCGGAAACAGCAAGGACGGAGTATGTGATCAGAATGTTCAAAGAGAACTGGGTCAGGGATTTTGGCTTACCAAAGTTCATTATCAGTGACAGGGATGTCCGATTTACCAGCGAATTGTGGAAGGCCGCTACTGCAGAGCAGGGAACTCAGTTGCAGATGACTTATGGGAATCACCCAGAGGCCAACGGTCAGGCCAAGCAACTGAATTGCGCTGTACAACACCTGTTGAGGCATTTTATCAAGCCTAACCAGGTGGACTGGGATGAGAAGCTTGCTCTCATCGCCAGTCTGTACAATAATGCTGTACACAGCGCCACCGGGGTGAGCCCAAACAGTTTGCTATTGACTTTCAAGCCTAGACTGCCCTTAGATTTTCTCCTTCCTGAGAATCAGTCAACTGCTGCACCAGGTACTTTAGAATTTGCCTACCGGTACGAACAGAAAATGCAGCAAGTTGTAGAACAGATGCAAAACGCACAGGCGGCTATGATAGAATCAGCGAACAAACACCGCCGCGAGTCTTCATTTCAGGTTGGGGACAGAGTCTGGGTTAAGTCCTCAGAACTGGGACAAGAGCACGGGATCTCCCGCAAGCTCATGCCACAGTACTTTGGACCATGGGAAGTCTTAGATATTGTTGGGACTGATCCGGATGGACCTTCTTACGTAGTCCGGAGCCCTGGTCATCTTCGTACTTACCCTGTCTTTCACGCCTCCAAACTTGCACCTTTCAAAGAAACAGATCAGTTTCCCTCTCGTCGCTCAATGCTGCCCCCAACCATGGACGGAGAGGTGGATATCGATGATATCGTGGACCATAGGGAGCTGCCAGCGCGAAGACCAGCAGGCAGGGGACGTCCTCCAAAACTGAAGCTGCAGTACCGCGTTCGGTTCCGGCATCACACTGATCCAAAGGAGGACCGCTGGTTCACCAGGGAGGAACTAATGCAGACCGCTCCGCAAGTTGTAGCCCACTACGAGAGATCTCTGCAGAAGGGAAAGCGCCCTATGGTTGAAGATTGAGCTTCTCAGAGGACTGTTGAAGCTAAGGAGGAGGGAATGCGAGGCCATTGCCTCTATGAGCCCCATTCAGCCCCCATCTTGGAGCCAGTCGGCCGCCCTAAGTGAAGGCAGGCTCGACGAGGCCCTCAGGGCCCCATTTTGGCCACTGCRCAACTAAGGRAATTCASGCAGTTGCGCRGYGTCAGTTGGTTGAGAGAACTCAGGCCCTGGGCCGCCTGTGTGAATGTATGGAAAGCAGGCCCTGGGCTGGATACGGGTACTGGGCCAAACACATGCCAAAGGCAGTTGGGTGCATGCAACCACCTCAGGCCCGAGGCCTGTTGTCAATCGTGCTGGGCCTCAGGCTACCGAGGCCTACTGGAAGCTTCCTGGGACTGGACGCAGGCAGGCCACTTCGATATAGCAAAGGGCCTGCCTCCGCATTCGGGATTCGGGTGCTGGCTGCATGCCGTGCAAGCGCTGCTGCGCTGAAGCTCGCTGGCACTCACGCGCTCACGGGCGAGCAGGAAGGAGCAGGCAGCCATAGCCAAGCTGCGCTGCTGTAAGCTGGGTGTGGCGCAGGGTGGTCCTTGGGTGCTAGTGGCATCTGTGTGTTGGGGAACGAGGTTGTGAGTGAGGCGAGGGACATACCTGGTGCTGGAAGCTTGCCACATTGGTCACTGTATGCTCGTACTTTGGGAAAGCTGTTGTCGTCATCATTCAGCATTGTAGTATAGGCTAGATAGGATCTGCCATCTGTAGTCTGGGCGCCGAGCGCCAGATAGGATATCAACATTGGTTCTTCATTGATGATGATGATAATGAGACTTTACCAGCATTGTCAATTATGAGCTCTTGGTGTCTTCTTATTTGGTGAAACTCGTGATGCAATTCTGCTGTTGGTTCGAGGTCACGCATTACGAAGATTATTCACCATGTTCAACCTTTCAGTTGGCAGTCAGCCATAATGAAGGGGCTCGTTAGACACCCCTCGGGCGCATAAATCCCCCGAGGAATTCATCATTCCACTTATCCTCGGGGAAGAAATTGAAAAAAAAAAAAGTGAAAACATTTCCTTGGGGATTCCTTGGGGATTCCTTGGGCTACAGCCATTTCGACGCATTACCCAAGGGACCTCCCGAGGTCCCTCGGAGGTCGAGCATCCGGAAGAATCGGGGCGTCGACGGCAGCTCTCTCGACGACAATTTTCGAACTCAGCTGGTCCATTGCTGTTCCTGGCGGCCTGTCGACGGACATCTTCGGTCGGCAACGTTCGGCGTCATGGAATTGTCCGCCAACGGTCACCGTTGCCGGCCTGCCGGCCTCCACGACGTCTAGAAGGGGTTGTCTTGCGTCGGTGCCCTTGGCCCCGAGCGGGAAGGCGCCCAACGTTCGGCAGATTCGAATACTTCGATTTTGCGACGCCCACCTGAACTGGACCAACGACGTCGGCACAGACACAGCTCGCTGGACCACCCTCGCTTCCCCCCCCCCGCCCGTCCGCTTGTCGATACATGAAACTGGTCGCGGGAGCCCCCAAGGAATCGTCCTGGGGGGACCATTCCGAGGATGAGTGGAACGACAGCGGGAATTTCCTCGGGCGATGAAAAGAAAATTTCCTCGGGCCCTGAGGACGGCCCGAGGAGTGTCTAACGAGACTCAAAATTGAACCTTTTTTTATTTTATTTTTAACTTGGACCATTTCTCGATTTATGCGTGTCATCCTTGTGCAGTGGCCATGCTAATCTTCTCTGTATCATTCCAATTTTAACGGATGTCCCGAAGGACTCAAAGTTTGAACTTCATTGGGGCTTTTCCAAAATTTACCCCCCCTACCCCCTTTCCCCCATATTAACTGCCTACACACCCGCTTCCAACCAAGCAGAATAGGAAACATGAAATTGAGAGCAAATGTGCAAATGCGCAAAGTACAACAGCATAGAAACATCATCTCAAATAAACCAGTTGTACTGTTGTACTCAATTCTGTTCGTAATATTTGAAACGTATTCATTACCTAGCGCTAACAAAACGTTTTTTTTTTTTGTTTTTTTTTTCTTAACGCCGGGGCTGCATCCTGCAAGTTGCGGTGATAAGAGTACCTGCAGCTAGCAGAGGGGCCCCAACTGCCCCAATCTTATTGGTGGGGAGCAACACCTCCTGGAAACCGGGTCCAGCATCCCATTCTACATTTCGTTGAGCATGTTTGTCATCCAGAAATTGACTTGCGGATATGCTATAGGTCCTGAGATGGGCGCCCGCGGGAGGCATTCCGGAGGCCTCTACTGTCCTCCGTCTGCCACCTTAGTCCATATTCCGCCCAAACCAGCTCAATTCCACCAAGGAGCGCTAACAAACCGTTTTGTGACAGAAGCCTCAGAAGGCCAATAAAAATAGCATAATACCCACTACCTACAGCCTACAGGAACGTAGTTAACAATAGGACATTTTCACCAATTTCTGCCCATGTTTATGGTTACCACCATTGTAAACCACCAGTACACTCGGGCCTGGAGGCGAAACACTGCACACCAAGATTTGTTGAACCGCCAGCGGCACACTTCTTTCCTTTTCTGGCTGACGCCACCAGCGATGCACGGAATGTTTGGAGTAGGGGACGGGAACTTTTTCAGCAAGGCTGAAGCTGTGTACTGGTGGGTTTAGATTCTTCAAAAAGAAAATGAAGAGCGTTGGGGGGATAGAGGGGTGGGGTGAGAGAGGGGGAAGAGGAGAGGGGCGAGGGGGTGCAGGGACAGCGCGGGTGGATTCAAATTATGCAGGGGACGCAAAGTACCTCAGGAATGAACTCCACTGTGTAGTTGGAGGGGATTGTCAGCTTGGAAATCATGTGGGGGAACCGCAGTCCTTGATCGATTGTCAGTACACGCCTATTGCCGGATATTGCTACAATCTTGGCTCTTTCAGCCTCATCTGGATCCCAGCGAGAGGGAGCAACAACGATCATGTCCCCCACTTTCCAATCCACTGGGTCTCTGATTTCCAGGATCCTTGATCCCTCTGGTGCACTTTTCGCGAGTTGAGACCAGGTGTATGTGCGCTCAAGCCCATGCATGTCAAGGTTTCCCAGAACCGCAACAACCTGCAGTGAGACAGTCCATAAAGAAAACAAAAGATTCAGGTTGAAGAATGGAACTCTGTTAACCAGGGCTGCCACCCCAATAGCAAAGAAGAATGGATTCAACGCCTGAATCTGGAAGTGTTTGTGGAGAGGGCAGAAAATCTCAAGCCCATGTATGTCCAGGTTTCCAGAACAGAAAAAAAAGAGTTCCCAGAAAGGCCAGAACGGCAATAGCCTGTCCAGACTCGGCACTGAATCCAATCCTCTTTGCTAATGGGACCTCGGTCCAGGGTGTACGTGCAAAATGTGAATGAATCTTCCACTAGCACACGAAAAGATACTCCGGCATAATTTTCGTCTTTTGTGGCGGGTGTAATGAACCCAGTCTCGTTCAGAAGCCAGTAAGCAATGCAATACGAGTTTGAACCCAGCTCACATTATGAAGTCTCCGAACGAGTCCGAAGTCAATCACAAGTCCATGTCTCAATTATAAGCACAATTCAAGAGCATCGTCTCATCAAAGAAGAGCATGAGAGGAGAGAAAGAGGAGAGAAAAGACACAGACGCGGAGGAGGAGAGTCCTGGGAATAATCAATAATACATGTATGTCACTCTCCTTCCCACTTCAGCTGTGGGCTTCTCCTCTATCGCCACCTCAGCAATGCATGTTATCCTCTGACGTCCTCTGACATAATCATTGTGCAGATCATTACAGGGCGCCCATCCTCCATCTGCGACAGCAATAAGATATGGAGGATGGCGCAGCACTTCTTCACCTCCGTGGAGACAAACAGCATATCACGTGTCGACACCAGGTAAGTCCAGGTAAGCTTCCTCTCATCTCTCGTCAGTCTCACAGCCCTGATCCTCCTCCTCCTCCTCGCCAATCCCCAGCACCTAGTCTACAGCTATGGCAGCTATGGCTGCGCCAACATAATCTCCCTCTAAGCTGGCGCCTTCTAGCAGCATCTGGTGCCAGCATCACACTCCAGCAGCCTCGCGTAGCAGCACTAGCATCAAGGCAGGCCATGGCAGAATGCCTTCCCCAGTGGTCTGGCTAGCCTTTTGTAGTGCTGACCAGTCTCCCCTTGGACCATGTCGACGCTTCTGATTTGCCAGATCTTAACGGCCAGGATGCAGCGTTGAAACAGCAGTACCTTTTCCCAATCGGGACTGGAATCTTCTGGATACCTGCAGACAACCATTGATGTGCATCTGATCTATGGCCGAGGCTGACTGCGGGTTAACTTTGACTTTGGGCCTGCCTTTCCCGTGTTGGGTCTGACTCTTGATTTTCCAAGAGTCAACCAACTCACGTGGGACCTCTAGCCGCTGTTTTTGACTCAGGCCTTGATACCCCTTGACACTAGGCCCTCTCTCAGACTTTTCTCAGGCTTGGGACGTGACTTTGGCCCTTGTTTCTGGCCTTTGACCGAAAGTGACGACCTTAGCCCACGGCTGTATGTCTATGAACTGAGTTTATTACACGGGTATGGCGGGGGTGCTGATAAGAGCAGACACCACTTCCATTCCGCAGGATGATGGCTCCGTACGACTGGTGGGGAGCTGCACCTGCTGGGGGGGGGGGGGATGGAAAAAAATAGCCATAGCTGTTTGTTGTCATCTGGTGTTGTTCGAATAAAGTAGTAGCAATGGGCTAGGATAGTAAAAAGTTTGTGTGGCAGTAGAGCGACCTAGGTCTGCTGCCCTGCAATGACTTCTGATCCCATGGTCAGCATGTTACACTTATTACCTGAAAAAAGAGAGAGATCTTAGTTCCCCTCCTCTCCTTGGCCCAGGTCCCACTACCACCTGTGTAGTTTAGTCGCAACAGCGGGTGGTGAGTGTGAACCAGCCGCTATGAGGGAATCGAATGGTCCACGGATCATCCCTCCTTATTGTTAGGGTTCGGTCAGAAATGTAAGGTTTTGGTTGGCCGGGCTCGGGAGGCCGAGTACTCAGGACAGAGCCTGTCCTGTAGAAAGTTGGATTTTTAAAAGCTGGGTTGCTTTCTACACAGTATAGTCCTCTACAGTCGATGCAATGAAACGAAAAGTCTGCCTGAATGTGTGGAGTCCTCTCTTTTGCACCTCTCAGAAACGAAATACCAGACAACTTTGCAGCATTATGCATTGGAAGTGTGCTCTACTGACTGAACAGGGAGGGACACACTGCTCAGTTCAACAGACGAGGCTTCGGGGGAACTCTGTCAACCTTTACGGGATGAATACTCGGACTGGTTCAGAACCAAACAGCAAATCAAGATGAACCCGGAAATATATAGTAGATAAATTCAAACACCTGTCAATCTTTACGGGATGAATACTACTCGGACTGTTTCAGAACCAAACAGCAAATCGAGATGAACCCGGAAATATATAGTAGATAAATTCAAACACGGTGTGCTGGGAGGAGGCGAACCTGGATCTATCACCTCTGACACTCTCTGGCTCAAATGGTCAAGCAGTGCCAAGGACAGTATCGCCAGGAGCGGGCCCCGAAGCATCCCAAGAGGTCCATTCACAGACATTGCAGGCCTGGTCAGCTCAGCTGGCCTCTGGATAAGCAATCACACACGGACTGGCGAGGCGGGGCACATGGTGGTTTCACAGTGTGTTGCGACTTGTGTGGACGGGCTTAGTATGTGCTCAGGCCACCTGGCATTTCGGGGTCTCCCGGTGTGCCCCATCGCCGTAAGATTGGCATGAATGCAGGCAAGTCTGGGGCCGGCGGGGCAAGGCTTGTGGATGCCCAAGGCAGCAGAAGGCACATTGCAGTGGCAGCAACAATATGAGCTGGCTAGAGCAGTCATCATGCAAGGGTTTAACGCGAGGGTTTGGGGTTTACCGGAGGGTCAGCTGCAGACAGGCTGCCAGGGGGCGTCGCTAGTGGGCCAGGCTAACTTAGGCAGGGGTGAGAGGTGGTACATCTTTGGGGTTTACCAGATGGACAGATTCACATAGGCTACAGCATGGGAGGTTACTAGTTGGCTAGGCTAACTTAGGCAGGGGTGAGAGGTGGTACATCCTTCCAAGGGAAGCAATCAATGCCACTCCCAAGGGTTTGGGGTTACCGGAGGGACGGCTGCATACAGCCTGTAGCAGGGGAGGTTTTTAGTTGGCTAGACTAACTTAGGCAGGCGTGAGAGGTGGTGCATCCTTCCAAGGGAAGTAATCAATGCTGCCTTCTCGGGTCCTCAACCATAATGGGGGAAGCGTGCATGTGTACTTGTTGTACTTTCATCTTGCCGGTGGAACAGAATCTGGACTGATGCTCCCCAGAATGTACAAGGACCCTGAGCCATGAGGCTCATGCGAGAAATGAGCCCTCGCAGTGGCCTTCAGGCCGCTGCACCCAACTGCCCAGGGGAAGCCAGCATGCCTCCTGCCCGCCCTAAGTGAAGGCGGCCCTGCATTTTGACATGAGTCATTTCTGCATATGGGGGCACCAGACAGTTGCCACACGCCAGTTGGTTACAAGGCCCACACCCAGTGTGAGGATGACATGCTGAACCTCAGGGCTCACCCAGCTTGCGATGTGGCCAGGGGCTCCACAGCCAATGAGAATTCAGGCAGCGACGTGGCAAGTGGCCCGTGAGCCAATGAGAATGCAGCGAGTGATAGCAGCCACGTCGCAGAGTAGGGAAGCTTAACAATGGGCCAGGGCGCAAACAGTTTGGCCCAACATGAAGCTACTGGCCAAACGCTCGCCAGGCCCAGGGCAGCCAGAGGCAGGGCTCACCTTCCATATAGGAAAGTGAGCACCCAGCCAGAGGGAATGCGGGCTTCACACGACCGGGTGGCCATGCTGCTGCGTTGGGCGCAGGCAGGCTGCCTGGGCGCTGGTCGGCCAGAGCGCTCACGCGGCCGCAAGTGGTGAGGGGGACTGCGGTGGCAGTGGGCGCGAGCGGCCATAACCGGGCCTGCTCGTGTGGAAGCTGGTGATGGTGATGGTGGTCTTCTGGTGACGGGGATGCACACTGGTGTATGCTGGCAGTCTGCATTGGCGATTTCGTCACGTACATTAGTCTTCAGCTTGAAGTGTTTCCTGTTGCATATCGTAGTGTAGGCTAGAATAGGTGCTGAGTAGGCTAGGCTGGGCGCTGAGCGCCAATCAAGAAGGTCGACATTGGATACTATGTTGGTGGTGGCGAGAGAGGGCCGACATTGACATTCGAGTTCATTGTATCCCTCTCGTTTGGGTTGTATCTCGGTGCATTGTGCTTTCTACTTGGTACACCATTGGTTTTCTGTCTATCACTCTCGCTCATTTTCCTTGCAATTTGGTATCGGAGCTGGTTTAGATGTCACGATACTGGCGCTGGTGTCTTGGTTACGTGCTGCGCTGATGAAGCTTCTTTGCAGTAAGGATGCTTTGATGCTGAATGATTGAGTCCCTCCCGGGTCGACGGGAGTTGGATTGGAAGGCTGTGGCGACAGCAGATGTATAGGGAATGATGAGGGCATGTTGACGTGGCATTTTGGCTGAGGTGGCACTGCATTGCATTGTGTGTGGTACCGAGGCTATGACCGGTCATCAAAATGCACGTCGGCCCAATTGGCGAGAAATCTGTGGTTGGGGACAGCTATTTCCAGGTATGTTGTTCCTTGCCTTATCTTCCCATCTCAATCTCTCATTGTCGTGATGAAGAGAGTTCGGCTTGACAGTCCTCTTCTGGTTAGGAGTCGTGAACGCTCTACCTTGAGACTCGACATTCTTCCTGGTGGCGCATCTGATGGGAGAGGCCAGTGTCTCTGAAGGACCTGGACGAAGCATTGCTTATGGTCACCATGCCAACCCAAGGGAATAGAGCATGCGTGCTTTGCTGCATAGTCATTTGAGCTCTTGCTGTGCATAGAGGGGATGTTGGCAGGCCAGCCTTATGGGGGATCTACTTGTTCGGACCATCGCTAAAGATACTCCTCCGGGGAGCCGACTTGCACTATATGCGAGGATAAAAATAGTATGGATGGGCTGGCTCGTTCTGCATCACCTAGGCACAGGGGTGGGCCATTGTGCAC